GAAACCAAGTTCAGGTAGTAATCAGATTTATCTTTTCTCACAAGGGATGTGCATTTAGTCCTAATCTGTCTGAAACAGGCCAAGTGAGATGCCTCCTTAGTGCGTCTAGCGAGAGTCTTTGTTTCTCGCCCTGTATAAGGTGGAAAGTTCAGGGGACAACCATGGACTAGATCTATTTTTCAGTGATAGCTTTTTTTAAAGGAGCACACGTATTATTACAGAAAATAATGTTTTTGGAAAGAAATCTAAAACTAATTCAACAACTGGAATTCCACATGTAAGGTATGACGCTATCATAGCTGTCATTAAGAAAAACTTTCCCTATTGCATGTAGGGACACACACTAAGAGATCATCTCAAATCATGGTTAAGATGTTTATGTAGGTGTATATAGATAGGTGTGGTCTCTTGAACACATGCCACAATAATTAAATATCATTCATTCATATATTTCCTCTATGCCTTTTAAACTACCATTATTTAACAGTATTTTACTGCTCTTTTGTCTGTATTCACAGATGCGTAACATCAAGATGAAAGACTTTGAGGACTCCCTGAAGCGCATTAAGCCCAGTGTTAGCCCAACGACTCTTACTCTGTATACCAAATGGAACAAAGATTTTGGCGACACAACAGCCTTTTGAACCTCAAGGTTAATTTTCACTTAAAATAAAGTAAAATAAACAAAATAAACTAACTTCCTCGGTTTTAATTTACGGGTACAAGATGTCATTAACACGAATGAGCTTAAAAATCTGGAACAAACTTTTTGTAGGATGGCAAAGCAATAATGTATAAATATTATGACATTTGGGAATATTGGTTTGTATTTCCTGTTTTATGAGAATGCCTTGCTAGAAGGGTTTGTATTTGTGTTTACTTTATTATTGCACTCCTTCCTACTTAAAATTTCATTATTTATTCTTAAGAATGTCCTTAAAAATTACAAGTGATCTTTCTTTTGCCTCGAGGGGGCAGCAAGTTTCTGTAAACCCTGATTTACACTGATTTTGATGATTTTGCACATCTATTCTTTCCCTGACTTATTGACATGTTGATGGTATTGATCACCAAGTGCTGTACTTGTACACATGCAAGAGTGATGATAATTGGGAGATTTACCTAATCTGGTGCTTTTGTATCATAAAGGTTTTTCCATTTGGTCTTATAGTTTGTAGAAACAAATATTTGTATTGTTTTTGAAAGTTGGAGACCCTAATGAATTGTTGTGTCGGCCAACTCTTTTTCTTTTTGAGTTATGAGTTTAGTTTGAAGTATTTCACTGAGCGGAACTGTAATAGCTTCCCACTTTCCTCATGTATCAATAAATACATTCATTAAAGCCTCTCCATCTTTATTTTGTCTTTTTCTTTTAAGTCAGGCTCTAACTACAGTATCACACACAGATTAGTGCTTTTTTAAACCCTTTAAATCTTAACCTTGAATCCTCAAATCTTTTCCCCACCAGAGCTTAAAGAAAAACGGTACAACATGGTCATAAAAGTTCTTTTAAAATACATTTTTTTGTTTACATTAGAGACAGACATGGGAGTACTTAAGTCTCAGCCAGTGAAGCGTCTACATGCTTCACATTTGTAGGTAGATGGTGCTGCTGTTCTGTTTTTACCTGTTGCACAAACTCCTTTCTGTGGGTCAAACTGCACCTAGAATGAGCCGATATTTAGCCTGCAACCACAGATGTGAGGAATGTCGTAAATTGCTATTAATGAAAATAAAATGTCTGTTCTGCTGTTTGACTGTCAGATTGAGTGATATATTGGATTGAATTTGCAGTTTTGGGTGTGTTAACACTTGTATGAGCCTTGGTGTGTTCATACATATATATGTAGGTGCAAGTCACGTTATACGGCTCTGTGGTTAAGACCCAATAACCAGCCACCGTCTAATAACAAGGCTGGAGATTCAGCTGCAATAGGGGTCTCCAGCTGTCGAGGCATGTCTGATTCAAGCTCAGTAAATGCTTGTGGTCAGTCTTTATTTCAGTGCACACCAAACTCTTCCACTGAAAAACTTAAATCCCACCTCTCTCCCAAAGGCCCTTCCTATGGTCAGCTGGTGGTGTTGCCTGTGGTTTCTGTGGCCCCGGCAGCTGCATCATCTGTTCCTGCAGATGTTTACAGACTCTGCAAATGCAAACATTTTCTTGCAATTAATTAAGGCCGTGCTCCGAGTTTGAAGTTATCACGAGAAGAAAAAAAAGAGCTCAGCATGCAAAACACTGGCTCGCAGAGCTGCAACCACACCTCTGACTACTTTCCCTCAGGGGAGAGATGTTGAATGGTGTGTGTTTTAGGACTTGTCATGGCTGAAGAGCTTCTTTCATGATACCAGACAGGAATGGAGAGTGTTAGGGGTTAGAGCTTAGTCATCACCTTTTTCCTCTGTTTACTCTTCACTGTGAGCATCCTATGCAGTAAACAAATGGTCTGTATGACGGACTGGCTGTGAGAGCATTTAGTCATGTTATTTTCACACCTTTCAACCTAACATGTTGGAATAAAAAATGATTGCCTACAGGTGGTAGTATTGCCTAATCACCTCATATCAACATTCTTACAAGTAATTACTTTTAAAAGAACCTGTAATTACAGTAGAGAGCAATTATCATATGTACACGATATGCTTTAAATTTCCACGCTGACAGAAGACAGAGCATTATTGAGGTGGTTTAAACTTTGTAGATGATTGACAGCTTCCCTTTTTGGTTGCGTGTCAGAGGCCTGCACCTCCACAGTGGCTCATTGATGCTTTGACTACTACATCCACTCAAGGGAAAACAGAATAGGTGATCATTTGATACCTCCAGTGAAATAGCCCACCCTGTAGAGAGTAGAATAATAGTCAACACAGTGAGGACCTCTGACTGACTGAGCAAACAGTATGTGAGTGTTTCTTCAAGTGGCCCATTATGAAAACAGTATGTGGATGGAAGGGTTTTGTTATAGTGAGTGCAAGTGTTTCACTTTAACTCTGCTGGATTGAGTTTTTGGAGGTATCAATCTTACCTGACATAATTTGTCAATTGTCCTGCCTTACAGTAGCATGTTAGATGCTAAAAGACCGAGAGACAGTGCACTGCCTGTGTGGAGCACCATGCTGGAGAGTGGCTGTGAGCTTCACTATTTTTCAAGAAAAGACTGATTGTAAATTGTTGAGCTGGTGGGAAGGGATTTCCTTGAAAATTTAGGATTTGGCCCTTTTATCACCCTCAGTTTAAAGATGTGTTCAGGGCTTACACAGTGGAAAGCCTTCAGGGCTGAGTGTGTCCACTTTCAGCACTAGCTGCTACTGTTCCACTGGCCTGCACACCCAATACATAACTTAATTTACCCTGGGAGTGTTATCTTTCTCTCTCGGGGGAGGCTACAAGCCAAGTCTAATCTTGTATCCAATGGCAACATCTGTCTTTTATGAGCAAATTTATTTTTCTTGCTCACTGTTTATGTATGGTTTGTGTATCGTTGGGTGTGGAAGAGCTGAAAAAATGGGGTGTTGGTATATAGATATGTATGCATATGTCAACATGAGCGTATTTAGGCCAACCCTGCCTTAGCTCGGAGCAATGAGGAAAACTGGGTTATGTGTGGAGTTTACGCTTTAATATGTTTAAAGTAATATTTCAACATTTTGGGATACATGTCTGTACAGTCTGTATGAAGCTACCGTCAGCACCAGGTTAGCTTAGTTTAGCATAAAAACTGGAAACGAGGAGCTAGATTGGCTCTGTCCAAAAGATTGGCCTACACCAACACTTCTCAAGTTCACAAATGAACACATTAGCCTACATCTCATTTGTTTAACCCATCGACATATACAAAGATGGACGACAGCTCTCCAAAGGTAAACCAAATTATCTCAATCACCCCCTGATGGCTGACTGTACTATAGGCCATAAAGCCTGTTGTCTTCATGTTAGCAGATGGGACAAACTAAATAATCTAAGTACAGTACACATCAAATACATTTTTCCCAAATATGGTTTCTTATATATATTCATTCATGTATTTGTTGTTTGTGTGTTTGCTTTTTATCTTGATGGTCAAATATGACCTCTTTGGAATAGTTTCAATGAGGTAACATAATCACAATTGTGTATTGCCATCCATTTTCAGTTCAAGAAAGACACAATGTCACTAAAATAAAACTAGGCTATGTGCTTTTGGCTTTCAGGAACCCAGAGGAGAGATTGTTTTGCTGCCTGATTTGTATTCGTGGAAAGAGCTGACAGTAACCATCTGACTGTATGTCTCTTAAATTTTCACTCTTGCGGAGTGATAGGTCTGTGGTAAGGTCCGTAATAGCTAGTCTTACAAACTCACTATCTAATTTGGGAAGCCAACACCTTTTTATAAGGTGTAGAAGGGAATGAGTTTGTGGATAAGCAACATTTTAGAAAATGTTGTAGCATGTAAGTAGATGATTGATCAGCAGAAGGAGGGGATTATTTTAAGCCATTGGGGGATTTTGGATAAGTGTTTTTGGAAAAAAATAATTACTTAGAGTGAATTTGTCCATGCTCATGTATTTTCACTCTCACTGCAGCCTGCAGCCACAAAGCTGTAAAAGACCGAGGTGGACGGAGGGGAGCGAACTCATGCCCGCACATGACCTGCAAAGCCATTAATCTCAGTAACCTCTGGTGAGGTGATCAGAAGCCAAACCCTTCCCTCTAACTTTATGGAAACTATGCAGATGTATTACACTTGATATTAGTCAGTGCAGCTAGTCAAGACATCTCTAAAAAATGTTTTCAGTCTCACATCTGGTTCGCTTTCTAAACAAAACATCAAATAAAAGCTAAATAGGGCTGTATTCAGTGGAGAAGAATAGCGTGGACAAATATCTTCCCCAGATGATGCTCAGGATACATATTGGCATTGGATTGAGGTGGACATGTTGAGACGTGGGTTTGACACAGGGAGGGGCGGAGAGACGAGGCTGAGGGGAACGGTGCACTGTCAAGGTAAGCTGCAGGCGGCCCCGCGGTGCATTCCTTCAGCTCGTGTGCAGCCAAAACACTTGATGAAAAGTGAAAGTGCAGTGAGGACTGAGCATTTTCGTGAGAATTATGCTGTGTCTGTCTGTCATTCTGCTTTTTTCACTCCCCTTGTCCTCCCCTTTTTAAATCTTAGTTGCCCTTCCCTTGGGTCATTCATGTGAGGACAGGAGTGATGGTTCAGCTCCACTTCTGACCCCGGTCAGGTTCAGCAATTAGACAACCAAAACATTCTCACCTCACTCTACTACTACTTGCTAGTAACCTTGCTGTCAGAGTTCAAATGTTTTTTTAAAAGTTGATCTGATGATAATCATATGATATATCACGTTATAGGTAGTAAAATATTATCACTTTAATTGACAGTGATATGAACTTCAGCTGCACTTTTAGTGAATTCACACAGTCCTTAATTATCACCTTTTTTATAGCTACGTCCACTTAAAGATCCAGTGTGTAATCACCTGAATATAAACTATAAAATATATATATTAAAAAAATATAGAAACTTTATGTTTTTGTTACCTTAGAATGAGGTAATATTGTGACATTAGTCAATCATTCACTCCCTATTTACTATACAGAGCACTACATTCACTGTCCGACATTTTATTTGAGTTTCTAAATTATGAGTGTGTAAATATATCCACTACAGTGACAGTCACACAAAAGTGAGACAAGTGGGACAAAAGAAGTAGTATCCATGAAATGTACACTATTTTCTGCTAACAATGTAACACATTGCACAACTCTACAACTGTCTGATGAGGCAAAATGGTAATAATGACGATGAAATGTCAGAATAAATCTGAGTTTACTGCTCACAGTTGAGTAAACTATTGAGTGTCCACTATAAAGGAAGTAGTGAATAAGTGAACAAAAGGGTGAATTTTGACACAGCCAGTCTACAGCCATGCTAGCAGCCCCGTGAGACGGCACATTGGCACAGTGGTGCCTTAAGTGCCGCTTGATCACCATCTTTGTTTATTAGCATGCTAACATTACCTAATTAGCACTAAACACAAAGCTCAGTTGTGGCTGATGGTAAAGTCATTATCTTTGTAGGTATTTGCTCATAATTTGCTCCAGGCCGCTGGTGCTAAGGTTCGCTAGCTAAGGCTAGCTCGACTTGTCCATTAACCCCTGGGTTGGTGGTTTTTAACCCCTGACCTCCTGTCCATGTGTCTTTGAGCCAGACACTGAACCCAGAATTGCTCCTGGGAAGGCCAACGCCTTGTGTGGCAGCCCCCGCCACCACTGGTGTGTGTGAAAGAGTGACTGAGAGGCAATATTGTTTATAAATGTAGTCCATTTAGCATTGAACAAATTTAA